CTGGATCAGGGGTTGACCACTACTTGACCGTCTCCAACATCCACTCTGAGGATGAGGCTGAATATCACTGTAGTGATGACTTTAATACAGGGCCATATAGTGAAGCCACAGTGATGCAAAGGGGAAGTGAGGCCAAAACCTCCCTCCCCCAGGGCTCTTCCCCACATGGTCAGGGTGGGCTACTCCCCCTTACACTGCAGGACCTAAGAATTTTACTCTTTTCCTTCAACCCTGTGGTCCTGACCTTCTCCCCAGACAGCAGGACCGAGAGGACACAGGTCATCATTGAGGTCACTTTGACAACACAGCATCTGCGTCCTCCCTCAGGCCTGTGGGGTGATTGCTACCAAACGCTGCCTCAGTGTCCCTCAGCCAATAAATGGAAACAGAGTTTGAGGAAAGGGAAAGTGTTTTAACTGATCACCAAATGAGAAGGCAGCAGACTCATGTCTGAGAGACAACCGTGCTGCTCTTTGGCAGAGTGCAGGGATAATCACACAAAGGGGAAAAAAGGGCGGGGGGCAGATGGGCAAGGGCCTGCAAAGAGTAGGGGGAAGGGGTCCACACAGAGACAGGTGGGCGCAGCTTGCTGTTTTACCTGCTGTATTCCTTGGAATGCAAGAAGACAAATTGGCAAACAAGGGGAGAATTGCAAGAAATATGGGAAAGACAAACTTGATACTGCTTATCTGACAGACCGGTCATTTCACCTGCATCATGATGCTGGGAGAGTCAGGAAGTGCAGGGGCCTTGCTGCCCCAACCAGCTAAGAAACTGGTAAACAAAAGAAAGGGCCTCACACCATGGGGCTGAAGATTCCTTGCACCCCACATCGTGGGGCCGAAGATTAAACTGTAACCTATAAGCTTCCTTTGGTTTTTTGTTCTTGGTCATATAAGAAAAAACTTCTTGAAAGTACATTGGGCAATAAATTATATGTATAAGAATACTGTAAGTAAATGGCACAAAGAAATACCTGCTTAAAAATTAAACACTGTGAATTTGGCCTGCCTGACAATGGGAAATAATTTGTTTTACATGAACATGCCTGACAAGTAATCCAGGACAACGACCATAGTAATTCCTTCTTTTCCCTTTTTCAGAAGTTTGTTTGGAAAGTTTTTTTTTTTTAATGATCTATGAAGTTAATTTTTTTAACAATTTTTTTTTTTAAATAGAGGCATGTTTATTTATTTATTTATTTGTTTGTTTTGTTTATACAAGCACTGGGTACAGTCAGAAGCGCAGGAGGGCGAGAGAATTCACCAGAGCCAGAGCGGGGAGCAGAACAGGCAGAAGGACCTAAGTACACTGCTGAGTGGAGCAGCGGGCGGCAGGAGAGGTCTGCTCGCCATGCGGGACCCTCCTCCGGTGGCCGGGGAGCAGCCGGGGATCAAACCGGCGCCGCAGAGGCCGCGGGCAGCTTCGCAATCCAGCGCTCAACCGCTGCGCCACCGGGGAGGCCCTCTATGAAGTTAATTTTGTTAAGAAGTTTCTAGGTAGAAACCCTGTTAGCTGATAACTAGGAAGCAGTTGGTCTCCAGCTGCAGGCCACATACATGGAGGAGTCTTTTGATGCTTAGGCTTTAGCTGATAGGAGTGTGCCGACGGCTATCAGCTGTCTTAGGTAATTGACTAGGCTGAAATTATGAGTTTTAGTGTAAGGTTTAGTTTTTTATCTATTAACCTTGAAGGTTGCCTTCTTGCTGAGAGCACGTAGGAGCCAAAAGTCTACGGGAAAAGAATGCACTGATTGTTTCTGCATTGCTTCCATGCATATGATTATGTCATCTCATCATTTGCCTTAATGTATAAATAAAGACCAGTGAGATCCTCAGCAGGAGATACTTACGCAAGACATTGTGTGTGTGTCTGCCTCATTCCTCAATTGCGCCGATACATTCCCATCCTTCAGGAACCCGTGACACCCAGTTTGCCGAGGCTGGCTCCCGTGAAGGAAGGATCCACACCCTGAGAGATGCCAGATGATGACTGAAAGGATTGGCAAGGTAAAGAGGAGAGCCAGGCCAGTTTCTAACAGGCAGAAACTTTATTGCACCTCCGGGCATGGTTCACGGACCCAGTGAAGTTGGGCCCATTGTCAGGAGGAGGGTTGTTCTTATAGGGTGAGGAGAGGTTAGGCAGGAAGGCTGGGTTGGCAGGGAAAGAAGCAGGTTTAGGTGGAACAAAAGTTGTTTCTCATGGAGCCAAGTTGTGTTTCTCCTGTTTATTGCTTCAGTTTCCGTTGGATGGTATCAGTGGTACTAGTTCAGGGCCATCTTGTTTTTTACTAAGTGGGATCCCTCATTCCTGGCCCTGCATGGGCATGTCAGTGGCCATGTCCCCTAGGGTCACAGCCCTGTGCCCACAGCTTGAGTAGGAGAAGAGTCTGGATTCTCAGAGTTCTAGGGAATTGTATGCAGGGAGTGTCCTACCACTTTTCAGGACTGAGGTTCAGCAGAAAACATTTGATCCCAGGAGAGGGTGATCTGAGAGTTCTGAGCGCCATGGTGGCTCCAGACTGGAGTACAGGTGGGTATCAGGGTGCCAGTGAGTAGGTCTTTATCAGGATAAATAGGGGGCATATTGGGGTCTCTAATGTGATAGATTCTCAGCTGTTGGTGCATCAAATGACTCCACATCTGCCCACAGGACTTTCTAGAAACTGACAAAACGCCTCACTGAGAGACCAGTAACAGGAATGGGGGAGAGTGGACACTCATGTGGGAGAAATTGGACCCCGCCATGTGTCAGCCTTGTGGGGGACCCACCTCAACTGCAATTAGTTGCTGGGGAGCAGATTACTAGACTCACTGATACTCCCCAGCAGACATAGTGACTTAGTGACCCCGGTCTTTAGGCCTGATGTTGGCTTGGTCAGAGGTGATCAGGCCTGGCCCCACAATGACACATCCTGAGGGGGAAAGTCCAACTAATTCCTGGGTTCTGGATAACTCCCACATGGGCAGGATAGAAGTGGGTCCTGGTGTCTGGCAGGGGTGGAGAGGATGCAGAGGAGTAGGACCTTGATGGACATCAGGGTTCAGTCCTGGTAGTGACTGCTGACCCAGGACTGCAGAGTCATGGAACTCACAGACCCTCTTCCACCACAACTCCCACCCCAATGACCAGTTGTTCTGACTGAGGATTTAGTTACTTTTTCCTAAACAAGATCACCAGTGGACCCTCTAGTAGGGGGTCTCCTCCATCCTTCTATTGTAGAGTAGTCACAGCACTGTAGGGATATATGCGAACACACTCGTACAACACAACATCCATGCACATCCAGGGCTTATGGGTAATATTTTGGAATAAGTGACACAGTCACCTTATGTGCACACAGACAGACTGTACAAGTGATGACATGAAAGTACAGGGGAGGCAGATGAAGGCCATTGCCTGTCCTGTTAGATGGTGACCAATTAGTGAGGGAGCTGCCACAGCCAAGTCCAGGTCAGAGGGACCAAGTACAAATTAGACACAATCTCCTGGTCAACGTTATGACAGGGGCTGGGGCAGTAGGAGACCACAGGCAGCTCTTGTCCTGGGAAGATGACTGCTGAGCAGTGTGGAGGACAGGCGAGCTCACCTCTTTAACAACATTATCCTCTCTGTTCTGTATCAAAGCCCCATTCCCAGGCAAGCCTTTTTTAAGCTATTCTGATGGAGATGCTTTACTTAATATTCTCACAGAACCCTGTCCCCCGTGTTATCCCTCAGCACAGGTCACCTCTCCTGACACATTTATCATGTGGAGACTCATTTTGAGGGAGTGACATTGTGTGCAGTTTCCAAGAATGGTGTGATTACTCTTCACAGTCATGCTGATAACTTGCACTGAAATGGGAGAATGTTCTGTGGGACAGCACAGGACTCTGGACACCATGGACATCGCTCCCCACTGTGACCCCAGAAGGAGCAGGCAGGTGGACAGAAGGTCTCCGGTACCAAGGACAGATTGCTGCTTGGGCACTGGAGACAGTCTCCTGGGACGAGGGTCAAACCCTTAGGAGAGAGAGCACATGGCATCAAGTCCATCCTTGGGGCTGGTGATGCCAGAGACAGAGGGTTCTGGAAGGAGCAACTGCTCATGCCCTGAGAGCAGAGACCTTGGAGTGACCATGTCTGTTTCCTTGGGCTTTAAAACAAAGAAGCACACACTGGGGCTTCACAAAAGAGACATAGTAACTCACAGTGCTGAGGTTATCACCTGAGCTCAAGCCCACACAGCAAAATGTTTTTACCTGCACTCAGCTATGATCTTGCAGGAAGGGGGATGCAGACACCTGCAACAGCTGAAACCCCAAGATAACCGGCTCAGGGAGCTCCCATGGAGTAACTGCACTGATTAAAGGCATCAGGGTTCACTGTAATGATCAGTACTCAGCCCAGGCGGGAAACTTAGCATCATAAGAAGACATGTGTCCTGTGCACCTGCATGAATGGGAAAGGGAAGGGTGACTCCCCACAACAACACTATCATGCCTATTACACGTGTGGTGCAGACAATCATATGTCCATCCTGGGTACAGGATAACAGACCTGATATGTCATCTTATAATCTGATATTCAGCCATAAACTGGAATGAAGTCCTGCCACGTGCCACAACATGGAAGAACTATAACACATTGTGCAGTGAAGGAGTCACTCACAGGACCTCATAGTATATGATTCCATCCGTTTCAGAGTCCTGAATAGAGAAAGGTATAGATACAGCAAAATACATCATTTTTTTAGAACTGGGTGCAGGGTGGCAAGAGCAAGAGATGAGGGCTGGGTTGCTTTTTAGCAATGGAATATTGTTAATTGGATGAAATATTGTTAATTAGCACATTTCTGTGGACACCACAATACACTGACTCTGCATGTCCACTTGCTGCAGTGCATGTGTGTGGGAACTGCATCTCAACAACACCATGTAAGCACAAAAGACACACTCATTTTAAGTCACATGCGTGTGACTCAAAAACAAGTTTCTCACCAGAGATAAATTGTAATCCTTATTTTATTCCATAAAAATACATTGTGTACATATGATATTGTACAAAAGTATGAAGACTCCTTCCCTCTCTCATCTTGGGTGACTGTCAGGTGGGCTCATTCCTGATGCTCCAGGAAACGCCTCTTCAGAGTCCTGAGTGGGGCTGCACCTGCTGTGTCTGTTCCTGCAGGTGAGGCGTTATCCCTGGGCCCCGGATACTGTACAAATGTCAACTGTGCACATTTTATAAAGAAAAACCATCTCTTCCTCCAAGCACTTTGCTGACAAGCCACAGAGAAGCTGTGGGATGTGTAGGGACCGAGATCATGGAGTGGTGGTGGAATCTTCCATGAGTCAGGGGGTATCCACACTGATGACAGATTATTATATCTTCATCTTATTATCAACTACTAAAACATGAGCAGGAGAGTAAAGAGATGACTGCACTGCATCCTCAGGACCTGAGAAATCATCAGGAAAATTCCAGGACAAAGATCAGGAAAAGACCACTCTAGCTCCACCAGTCTGGACTGTTTTCTCCTGCGGTTACTGACCAGCCCCAAAGAGAGGTGGGAGCAGCACCAAGGTGCCTGAGCTGCCAATGATACGAAGCAGCTGCGCCCCCTCAGGCAGCGGGAGCAACTGTCAGGGAGAAGCTGTCTCCATTTGTGGGCCCCAGACTTGGTCCTTTGCCAGGATTTCCCCTCCCTCAACCCAGGCTCTTTCTGGATCACCCAGAACAGTGATATTTCTGACCTTAGCCCACCCAGGTCCTGCTCTTCCCAATTCTCCAAAGGTGAACTAGTGAACTTCACTCACCCTCTCTAATCCTCTTCCCTTCTGGAATAAGTGCACCCCTTCCTTCTGTGTCAGCTGAAGAGGGGAAAGTCACCCATGGGACCCTAGAAATATGACGCAGGACCAGAGGAGGGGGAAATACAGGTTTTGCCTCGTCAATGACCTGCAAGCTCTTTCCAGAGTTTGGTTAATTTCACACCATCCCTCAGGTGTGAAGGCCCCACTTCTCCTCACCCCACAAGCTTTTGGGTCCCTATTATCTACTTCAGCCTATCTGACAGCACATGGGGACACCCTAATCAGGTCACATTGGCGTTTCCAGAAGACACATGGCAAGCTCCTGCTCCTGGTTCCCATGGTCCTACATCCTCCGCACACATGTACTGGTTCTACTAGGTCTCCTTCCCTTAGTGGTTGTGTCTTCACTGTGTGTGATCACATTTCCTAGTATCCTCTCTGCACTCGCTGGTCATCAGAGATGTCTTTGGAATCTTTTCTCTTGCTTACTACTTGTTTCTTTTATCCTGTGGAGGAGGTTTTATAAAACAAAAGATTGGAGTTTTGATGAAGTCAGTGTATTCATCTTCTTTTCTTATTCACACTTCCGTTACTTACACTTTCATTCCAGCCTTGTCTTCCGTTGATTCTTCAAATATAAACAAGAGCTATTGCCTGAGGTTACATGACCCAGTTCCCTGTGTGAGGATGGAATTGGGCCTCTCACCCTCTGTTCCCACAGCTCCCTCTTGTAGTCTGCAAAATCGACCCCACATGTGCTCTCCCTACTAGAGGGAGTGATGAAGGTTGTCCCAAACCAGAGGCGTGGTCCAGGGTACAGATGGAAGTGTGTGTGTGTGTGAGTGCTGTTGTGTGTGTGGGAGCATGTGCTATGTGCACAGGAAGCACAGTCTCACAGCCACACAAGGGTTTTAGAATCTGTAATACAGACCAGGCACTAGGTTGCACTTCAGTCACCTATGAGCTGAACTCTGTCTGTTTTCAGAACCCCTAGCAAGGCCACAGGGAGGTAGGAAGTAGATTTGCATGCCACCCGAGGATAAGAGAAGCCTTGAGCACCCCTCCCAGCTGCAGGCTTAGCAGCTGATCCTGAGACATCTGCACCATGGCCTGGAGCCCTCTCCTGCTCCCCCTCCTCATTATCTGCACAGGTTCTGGCCCTAGGGATCAGCCCACACAGAAATCAGGAATCTGTATCGCCTGACCTTCAGCTCAGCACAGGGGATGCAGCAGGAGCTGTTCCCTCTGGGAATGACCCTCATCCTCACACTCACCTCTCTTCTCCTCTCCTCTTGCAGGTTCAGTGGTCACTGCTGAGCTGAGTCAACCACAGTCAGTCTCTGTGGCCTTGGGACAGACGGTCACGATCACCTGCCAAGGAATAAACACTGCTGCTTTCTGGCACCAGCAGAAGTCTGGGCAGGCCCCTGCGTTGCTCATTGGTGTTGCTGGTGATAATGTGCTCAGGCCTTCAGGGATCCCTGAGCGATTCTCAGGCTCCACTTCAGGCAGCACGGCCACCCTGACCATCAGCGGGGCCCAGGCTGAGGATGAGGCTGACTATCACTGTCTGTCAGTAGACAGCAGTAATACTCAGCCCACAGTGACACAGGGCAAAGGGGAAGTGAGACAAAAACCCCGTCCCCATCTGGGTCACACTCTCCTCCAGCCCCAGGAGGATGAGACACAGGCAAGAGGAGGTGACCTGGGTCCCAAATCCTTTGCCCCATCCCAGCTATCGGGCATTCTCTGCAGAGGTGAGTCCTGAGTGGATTTGGGACTGCAGGAAGGGGCTCCAGGTGTTTCCTTGACAACACTATTGTGGGGATTGAGGACCAAGGTGGAAAGTCTGAGAGTGCAGAGCACGAGGAACTGCAGAGGGAGCTCTGGAGTTGAGCAAGGATTCTAAACTACAGATGAGCACAGGGGTGAGGGAGGAAGAGGATGGGCAGGAGGAATAACCTCCCTGAGACATCAGAGGGAGCTTCTTGTAGGCTGCATGCACACACATGAGCATATGCAAACACACACACCTGCACACACACAGGCACACTCTGTCATATTTGCTTCTTTCCTGGTCAGAAGAGACAGATTCTAGTAAGGCATTGGTTGCCTGTCATGAGCACTTTGCTCACTAGTAGGAAAATTTGTCCCAACTTTAGACTGATGTGGTGCCATGGAAGGGAGTAAAAAAGCAAGTGGAGAGCAAGGATTGAATGTGTCCAGGGAATTTACAGAACCAATAAAAAAGAAGTCATATATACAGGTCTCCAGTATCTAGCACGGACACTGAACAAATGTTTGCATTAATCAAAAATTTTCTGTGAAGATTTAGGAATATATTGGTCCTAATAATTCAAACCTCAATGAGCCCATCCTGACAGTGAAATGTTCTGGATGTCATGTATCTAGATACAAAGACTATTATCCCGAATATGTTCCCTTGTTCTGAGTTTAGCAGATGTGGAACATGCTAAATAGGACAGGGGACACATTAAAATATGAGCACATTTGACATTCTAGCAATAAACATGATGCTTTCTGTGATTTAACAATACAATAGAAGACATTGGCAGAAAATTGTTGATGCAAATGTAAAGATTACTGAACTTTATGATGCAACAATCTAATACATTGTTTGATACTGAGAGAAAAGAAGAAAGTGAATAAAAACAACCAATTATCTGGGAGAACATCAATTGTCAAAATGTGTGTAACGATGACACTAGGGAGATATTGGGGAAGGAATGGAGGCTGGAACAAATATTTGGAAAAAGAAAATATACTTGAGAAATGACCAAATATTTTACCAAATATTCCAAATTTGTTAAAAACTATTAATACACAGAGCTTGAGATTCAGCAAACAAAGAGCTAAAGGGAAAAGAGGAACACAGCTCTACCCATGCCAGAAGGAACAGTTTAGGGAGAGACTCCCCAGTGGAGACCCAGAAAGACTCACCTGCACAGGGACAAACACGAGAACAGAATCCTCACGACAGCAATGCAGCAGGAGACAGAGCAGAAAAATGTGGAAGCTTCTAAATGAGAAAAATCCTGAGCATCTGTCCCTGCAGCTGCTCTCACAGATGCCAGGGTGAGTGGCGGGTCCCATGAAGCAGGGCTCCTGTGGGGAAGGACAGCTCCACTCCCCACGCAAATTCGGGTGCTGAGTCTCCAGCAATGAGGGAATGTTGTAACACGCGTCCACACTGATCCCTGCTCAAAGACAAGACATTCAGTACAATGACACATTTCAACATGGGTGTCAGCACCCAACACTTGTATTCTGCATCAGTGAAAGGAATGACAAGTGTTCTTGAGAATTATTTTTATTGTGGTGCAGAATCTCTTGAAGGTCAATCCGCAAATCTCATGAAAAATTATTTTGTAATTTTTTAAAAGTTTATTTATTTATGCAGACAAGAGCTGGGGTACAGGCCAGAAATGCAGAGGGTGAGAGGATTCACCAGACAGAGAGGGTAACAGAACATGCAGACTGACTGAAATACACTGCTGAGGGGAGCAGCGGGCAGGATAGAAGAGGTCTGCCGTGCAATGTGTATTGCTCCCAGGCTGGCTGAGGTGCAAATTCGTGCTGCAGAGTCTGCAAATCTCTTCATATGTAGTTCTAAACCCCTTGTGCCATCAATTTTGGAATTGATCTAGATGGTGGCTAATCATCAGGAAATGTTTCTGAAGTCTGATGACTTGTCCTACTCTAGAGAGATCTTAGTCGAATTCCCAAGTTCAGGTCATTTCAGAAAAATCCAATCTCCCAAGATGGTGCTAATGTCTAGCATTATGCTACACTGAGACCCAGAAGGGACAGGTAATTCCTGGCCCTGGGGAGCCAGCAGACACTGGGAGACTCTGAGGGGCTCATGGAGGAGAGGAGGCATCAGGGGAGGGGCTGTGTGCGGTGCTCAGCTGGGAGCAGGATGGATGGACCTGAGTCCCATGGCCCTGTCCAGTCTCAGTCACCTCTTTACACACAACTGGGAGGGGAAGCTCATCAGGGGTGTCTATGCCCAGGGGCACAGCGGCCACTCAGGGGGTCCAGGTGCAGTCTTAGCATGTGTCAGTGAGGCACATTGTATGTTTTCAGCAGCAGGAGCCTGAGGACAAATACATTTGTTCAGGACATTAGGGGAAAGTGCACACATCACAAGCTATACCTTAGAACAAATGTTCCTGTGCCTACCCCGTACAGTTCTCCAAAAGCCAGGGCCTTGACCTCCTTGGGAAGGATCCTCATCCTAAAATATCAGGAAAGGAACCTGACACGCGGAGCCTAGCCAAAGTCTCAGGTCCCCTTGTCCCATCCCACATCATCCGTGTTTTCTGCTGCAGAGGGAGCAGATGAAGGTCCCCACCCCTGTGCACAGACAGACTCACAATAGACAGGGAATCAGATTTCAGCACCATGAGCAGCTGAGTGTTCACTGCATAGATGCAGGGAGGACAGATGCCTGCATACAGAAGCTGGGTGCTGACAGGATGGGCCTGGAGGCCTGGGATGAGGTAAGGAGGAAAACAGGATGTCTAGTGAAGGGAGGGCAGGAAGGTGAATAATGGGCTCTGAGGTGGGAATTCTAACCTACCTGTTACTTCTTGGTTATTTAGAGAAAATCACTTACCCTCTCCCTGTTTCCTCATTTAGTAGACAGGAGCAGAGGCTGCTGTGGATAATTCCTAGGGCCTGGTCTCCATCAGGGTCAGAAGCAGTCATGCTGGTGACTGTCAGCACATGCAGGATGACATTCATCCTGGGCACCAGGGGGCGCTGTGGTCCTGGCTTGGAGACCTAATTAGTCCAGACAATGGGCTGTGCTCAGTGCGCTGGGCATGACTGACTGATGCTCCCTTTGAAGACACTTCTGGGGTAAAACCAACTCCCCAGCAAAACCCATACCTGTTCCTTCTTCTGACCTCAGGATATCACCATCATGAAGTGCCCGAGACCTGCCTTGGCAAAATATCGTGTCAGGGGTCCCGAAAGGATGAGACGGCGTCGACGAAACGTTAAGGGCTGAGGGGAAGGGAATGATGTAGATGAGGAGACGCTGACACTCGTGAGGTGCAAGTAACTTCTACTGAGGGGCCCAGCAGGTCCTTTATTTATACATTTTTAGCAAGCAATGAGATTACATTATCATGCGCATAGAAACAAAGCAGGAACAATCAGTGCATCCCTTAGACTTTTTGTTGCTATGTGCCTTCCGCAAGTAGGCAACCTTCAAGGTTAATAGATAGAAAAATAAGCCTTACACTAAAACTCATTGTATCAGTTAGACATTTACCTAAAAGAGTTGATAGCCACCAGTACATCCCTATCAGCTAAAGTCTAAGCATCAAAGACTCTTCTATTAATATAGCCTTTGGCCGGAAACTGGTTGTTTTTTGGTTATCAGCTAACATGATGCTCTACCTAGAAACTTCTTAACACAATTAACTTCATTTAAAATCTTTCCTAAGAAACTCCTAAAATGCAAAGGAAGGACTTACTATAATTATTGTGTTGGATTGCTTGTCAGGCATGTTCAATAAATTGTCTCCCATTGTCAAGTGTGCCAAATTGTTTAATAACTAATTTCTACACAGATAATTTTCCATGCCAATTACTTACAGTGTGCTGATATGTATAATTTATTGCCTAATATACTTTCTGATAAATTTTTCTCTTTTTATGACCAAGAACCAAAAACAAAGTGATGTTAGATCTTCAGCCTCATGGTGTGAGGCTCTTTAGCTTCAGCCCCACTGTGTGAGGCCCTTTATCTTAGCTGCTTGCCAGAGTTTCATCTGGCTGGGTCATCAAGGCCCCCTGCAGCAATGAAGACTTTAGCTCAGGGCTCAGACAAGACTGAGGCACACACTGAGGACTGGAGAGAGATTTGCATTGGCTGCCCCAACTCCTGGAGCTGCAGGCAGGGAGGATAAAACAGGAGACTGGAGAGGCCAGTACAGCTGGGCAGCCTTAGGGCAGAGCTCCTGGGAGACTCCACCAAGGCCTGGGTGTCCTTCTACCTCTTGCCCCACATGGTCTCCACAGGTGAGTGCAGCCCAGACTCAGGGGTACCCTTTCACAGTATTTCCCAGCCTGCCAAGTCCTTAGGACTGTCTCCCCATGTCATTCAGCATGGTTCTTGCATTTTCTCTTTCAGGTCTCTGTGCTGTGCCTCTGCTGACCCAGCCCCCTTCTGCATCTGCCTCCCTGGACCCTCAGCCAAACTCACCTGCACCCTGAACAAAAGTTCAGTACCTTCCCCATTGCATGGTATCAACAGCTGCCAGGGAGTGTCCCAGGGAATGTGATGTGTCTTAGGAATGATGGAGGCCACAGCAAAGGAGAGGAGATACCTGATCACCACTCAGGCTCGGCTCAGGGACTGACCACTAATTGACCTCCAACATCCAGTCTAAGGATGAGGCTGAATATCACTGTAGTGCTGACTTTAATACAGGGCCATATGGTGAAGCCACAGTGACACAAAGGGGAAGTGAGGCCAAAAAGACCCTCCCCCAGGGCTCTTCCCCACATGGTCAGGGTGAGCTAATCCCCATTTCACGGCAAGGCCATAAGAATTTTACTCTTCTCCTTCAACCCTGTGGTTCTGACCTTCTCCGCAGACAGCAGGATCAGAGGACATGGGTCATCATTGAGGTCAGTTGACAACACAGCATCCATGTCCTCCCTCAGGCCTATGGGTTGGTTCATACCAAACTCCGCCTAGTGTCTGTCAGCCAATAAATGGAAACAGAGTTTGAGGAAAGGGAAAGTGGTTTAATTGATCACCAAATGGAAGGCAGCAGACTCATGACTGAGAGACAACCGTGCTGCTCTCAGGCAGAGTGCAGGGATAGTCACACAAAGGGAAAAAAAGGGGGAGAGACGGGCAAGGGTCTGCAAAGGGGAGGGGGAAGGGGTTGGCACAGACACAGGTGGGCGCAGCTTGCTTTTTTGCCTGCTGTATTCCTTGGAATGCAAGAAGAAAAATGGTCAAACAAGGGGAGAATTGCAAGAAATATGGAAAAGACAAACTTGTTCATGCTTATCTGAGAAACCGGTCATTTGTACCTGTATCGTGATGCTGCGAGAGACAGGAAGGATCCACACCCTGAGAGATACCAGGTGATGACCATGTCCCCAAGGGTCACAGCCCTGTGCCCACAGCTTGAGTAGGAGAAGAGTCTGGAGTCTCAGAGTTTCAGGTAATTGTCTGCAGGGAGTGTCCTATCACTCTTCAGGATTGAGGTTCAGCAGAAAACATTTGATGCCTGGGGACAATGGACTCAAAATTCTGAGCCCCAGACTGGGGGCTCCAGACTGGGATCCAATTGGGTATTGAAGTGCATGTGAGGAGGCCCCCACTGTGCTTACTGCTCTGTGTGAGCCTCATCAGCTGTGCCTGTTTATAGCAGGGGAGAGGGTGACACATGCTCAAATGCCCCATCCATATGCCTTCCCGTGGGTCACTGGGCTGAGACTGGTGGAACTGGGCACCATGGTGACCTGAGATACTGCAGCTGAGCCCATGTTCATGTGGGGATTTGAGGTGAGGGGCATCTTCTGTGAATAGGTCTTGCATCTTCCAGTCTACTTCTATTCTTCTCTCTTGCAGGTTCTGTGGTCTCCCATGAGCTGACTCAGTCACCCTCTGTGTCAGTGGACCCAGGAGAGACAGTCAGAATCACCTGTCAGGGAGACAAATAATGTAAGTAGAAGAGCTCACTGGACCCAGCAGAAGCCAGTCCAGGCCCCAGTGATGGTCATTTACCATGATAAAGACCGGCCCTCAGGGATCCCTGACTGGTTCTCTGGCTCCACTTGGGGGACAAGGCCCCTCTGCAAGGCCCAGGCTGAGGATGAGGCTGATTATTACTGTCAGTCAGGAGGCAGCAGTTATGATCTCCCGCAGTGACATGAGGCCATGGAGAAGTGAGAAACAAAACTACCCTGTCGGGGTCACACTCTCCTCCAGCCCAGGAGGATGGAGACAGGCATGAGCAGCAAAATGAGCTTCTGAAACTCATGTATGTTGCTGTGTGCATCCATACGTCATTGCATCGCCCTTGCTGAGAAGCTTCCATGGAGGGATGGACTCATTTATTCACTCGTCCCCATAAGTAACCTTTGTTCTCTATCCAGTTCTGGGCAATTTCAAATAAAACCTTCAGAGTATATATTTATAGGTTTTCCCTGATCAGAGGTCCCGAGTCTCCCCTTCTTCCAGCCCCCATGCAGACTCTGCAGCCTGAGTGTCAGGAGTGGTTTAGGGCTCAGGGCCAGGCTGTCCCAGTGTTTGCTGCACAGGGCTGCGAGCTGAGGAAACAGGGATGCATTGAAGGACAGAGAGAAGGAAACATTTGTTCCATGTGTGAAAAAGAAAACTCGATCATTGAAAAACTGACCGAAATTTTTGAGTAAAATTGCATTTGGATGGTGAGCACCACACTTAACAGTTAAGAAACTGCCAGGAGGGACTTGATGTTGCCACCTCCCTAACTCGGGCTGCTCTCTGTCCTCTGGACACCTGCACCACCTCTCCGTGAGCGAGTGCTCCTGGGAAACTGCACCTGACACAATTTCTGTTTTCCTTATTGAACCACTGTTTCCAGACAGAAACATCCTCTCCATTATTAAACATTCTGTGAGTTTGGACACCGTGCATGGAGGGGTCGCGCGGCCGCAGTCTCCACGCAGAACAGCACAAGCCCTCTCTGTCCTTCCCCCGGCCCTGGGTGGTCTCGCCTCTGCCCCAGCGCTGCCAGGGCTGATCCCTGCCTGTCCCCGGAGTTGGGTCTTAGCAAAAAGTCATAAAATGGAATCACACATGGGAGCTTTTATTTTTGCTTTTGTTCAGCATGAAGCATCTAATATTCATTTATGTTGCTGTGTGCACCCATAATTCGTTCTGTCTCCACACTGAGAATTTTCCTAAGAGGGATGAACATCAGTTTATTGACCATTCCCCATAATTAGCTTTTGTTTTCTGTCCAGTTTCAATCTGGGCAATTTCAATTAAAACTTTTATAACATTTACTTTTTTTTTTAAGATTTACTTATTTATTTATACAAGAACTGGGGTACAGCCTAGATGTGCGGGAGGGTGCGAGGATTCACCAGAGACAGAGCCAGGAAAAGAACAGGCAGACTGACTGAAATAGACTCTTGAGTAGAGCAGGGAGTTGGAGAGGAGACAGGAGAGGTCTGCTGCGCCATGTGGGTATCTCCCCAGCAGTTCGGGATCAAATCTGCACTGCAGAGGCTGTGGAGAACTTCACAGCACTCACCCGCCTGTGCCACTAGGGAGGCTCCCTTTATAACATTTATGTACAGGTTTTTGGTGGACATTGTTTTTATTTCACTTGGGTAAGTACAAGGAAGGAAATTGCTGAGTCACAAGGCAAATAAATGATTAACTTCCCAAGAAACTGCCAAATTGACTTCCAGTGTGGAATCTGGTTTTATACTTTCATTATCACCAGCCACTGATAAGACTTGCAGCTGTTCTGCATTCTGCTGGAGGCCAGCTCAGGCAAACTGTCTCCTCAGGGGTTCCTGTAAGGATGAGAAGGTGTGGACGAATCTGAGGGGGTGCGGGGGGGAAGGGAATGAGGAGACACTAACACTTGTTCCTGGTGCAAGTTATCTCCTGCCAAGGGTCTCAGCAGTTCCTTATTTGTACATTACAAGCAAACCGTGGGAGTACATAAGCATATGCATTAAAGCAGGAAGATAAAAATCATTACATCTTTCTCAAGAACAGCCAGGGGACTATTTGCCCTCTTGCAGAGGCCATGACATTTATTATTCTTTGTTTTAAAGAAGGCACAGTTGCTAAACAAAAGTGTTCTTAGAATAGTCATTTATCTTAAACATCCAAACAATTATCTTATTACTAGCATCTAACCATCTAACACATTGTTTGATATTGAGAGAAAAGAAAAGTGAAAAAACGACCAGTTATCTGGGGTACAGGAGAACATCATTGTCCAAATGTGTGTAACGATGGCACTAGGGAGAAATAGGGGAAGGAATGGAGGCTAGAACAAATATCTGGAAAAAGAAAATATACTTGAGA